AAGTGCAAGCAAGAGAAAGTAGTGGGGCTGCCATCTCCTTTCTCTTGTTCATGAATGTATCTATCACAAAAAAGAGAATGAAGACCAGAAGGCTGGTGAGAGAGAAGCAAAAACTGGCTCCTCTAGCAATTAATTTCCTTTCTTCCTCTGGGTACTGCAACTGGGGTGTTGTTAGCTGGTTGGATACAATTCCTGAGAACCAGTTGTTAAATTGTCACATAGGAACAGAAAAGAAAGTCCAGAAAGCATCTGACAGGGCTTGAACTTTGCATGTACAGGGAAAGCCAAAGTCATGACAGGACCATGCTCCAGTCTTTCCAGGCAGCCAATTTATCCAGGCAGAGTGGGAAAAATGTGAGCCTATAGCCTGGCTCTAATTGTATTGAAAATATTGGAACTTAAGCACTTAATGAAGAATATAAGTTTCATTGATTCCTTCTTAATAGATGTGTATAATTGTGCATTTATGGATGAAAATTGCTCCTAAATGTTTATATGTACATATGCCAGTTTAGTGCAGTAGAACTCTGGGCACAAAAATGTATTACATCAGTCAAGTTTTAAAGCAAAAAAGTTGGCCGGCAAGTTGAAGGTTGTTGCTGATGTCTCTTAATAAGTAAAGACTTTAGCATTCTTTTAATTATGTTACCAGACTTTCACCATCCACACTCAAGAAGGATCTCAAGCTATTTCTCCTTATGTCTTTAATTCTCTGAGTACCATCAAATTATCTAACCTTTTATCATTAAAAAATACCATCTGGCTTAAAAGGAATTCTTTTATGTGGATTTTTTTCCCAAAAACACTGCCATTCTCAAGTATTTTCATTTCATTTTAGTTAAATTGTATTATTTCAATCAGATTTCTGAGAAAGAGAACTGTCAATTCTACTTGAAAGTTTAGGGGGTCATGACACTGCAAACTTTGAGAACGCCTATTTTATTGGTGCTGTTCTCACCATGTTTTTTTAAATCTTTGTTGAAATAATTCAACCTTTTTCTTAAGTTACATTGATATACCCTGATGAATAACTATTTTAATATTTCTCATTTTGAAAGGCTAGCATGACAAATTATTGCCAGAACCAGTTATTGCCTGATTTACATAATACCTGTGCCCTGTACTGCAACAGAGAGGGTAGACAATCAAAAGAGCTACCATCTCATCCATTTGTTCTTTGAATTCTTTGTGTGGACAGCACAATAGTGGGGATTCTGCCCTGTTAAAAAAAACATTTTCCTCTTTTGCCACCCAGAGAGAGAGCATCAACACAGTGATCAGCTGGCTACTTGTAAAGCAGTGAGGATTGAACAACTAATGGTCTTCCACTGGCAAACTGCTCCGTTCTCCGCAACATTGTCTTTGCTTACTCATCTTTGGAAAAGTAGCAAGAAGAACTGGATTCGGTGATTAGAGGGAGAAAAAGAATAGAAGTAACTTTATTGTGGTGGGAGAAAAAGCAGGCTGTGCTCTGCTTACTTGTCCTTTTTCGGTTGGTGGAGTGGGAGAGAGTGAACAAGAAGTGATTGAGCCGAGAAGGCTGATCTTTGGAACAGCAGCTTCCACCTCTGCCTATACGCTTGGCCTTTATCCCTGTGTGCTATGGCAAATTGGGTAGTTGGACCCAGTTCTGTCCACCCTGTGTACTTGGATGGAGGGGTGAGCTGATTGCCTCTCCAGTGACAGAAGGGAGAAAGAGAAGGCAAATAGAAGTGCCTGCTCTGTGTTGCATCTGTACAACACTACAACCTTACTGTTTGGAGACAAGATCAGGTAGAATTGGCTTCTACTTTTTGTTTCTTGTGTTTCGCTTTGGAGCAGGTGTAGGAGAAGGCATGAGAGCATCATGAGAGATTCTCTTACTGTTTTCTATTTCTGCTCCAAGGCAGGAGAAAGAGGATTTATTGATTCATCACCTCTCTTCATTTATCCTTCAGAATAAAAATAACCCTTTTAAGAACCATTCTTCAGCTAGGAGTTACATATAGTTTAGCCTTTAGCTGTTACTTTTTGCTTGGCCTTTTGGCTCCTTCCTCCAATTCAGCATTGGTGTTGACCACACCATAATAGAAATGGTCTGATTGCCCAACATACTGTGTTTATATTGACATCAGCTTCCTGCCTTGCTTCCTTCCTGCCTGCCCCTTCTTTTTAGTTTTTTCTTTTTCTTTCCTTTTTTTTTTTCCCTTTCTTTATGCCTCTGTCCAGTCTTGGTTTAAAACCACACCATTTTGTTTGGAGATTAGTAAATAAGATTTTGGCCTCCTTCGAGCACAATGTATTGCATTGCTAAGTTCACTATATACCCCACCCTTTAGTGAATGTTTTGACTATCACAGCAAAACTCTGCATTCACCTAGGATTTTCAAGCTAGTATGCGTAGTAACAATAGTAAGAAACTGAGCACTTCACAATCTAATGTCTACCATGAAGTTCCTATATAACTGTGTCAGCAATTAATTTTAAGACGATCCCATGGTTTGAACTGAGCAAGGGCTGAAAGTCAACGTTGTTTTCCTCTACTAAACACAAGTTGAGACCTTAGCAAAAAGTTACTTATCTCTCTTTAAAGAGCCCATTGCCAATATTCTGTGACTATTATGGAAAACAAGTAGCTGAGGTACCTCATGGAGTGAGGTTTAAAGAAAGATGAAAGCCTCTGAGAAGGCTCTAGAAGTGCTAGTTGTATATTCTTATTATGAGAATGCTTCCAAATAATTTAACTTAAAAGAAAACTACTATAGGCACATAATTTATGTTAAGGTTTAAGAATTTTAATAAATGCGTGATACTGGAACATACACTAAACTTTATCAAAAGTAACACTGCCTTATATGTAAGATGTATTTGGGGAATCTGAAGGGGTTTTTTTCCTTTCATAATGTTTATAAAATACTTTCTCTTTAAAATATTAGTATTCTTTATAAAATTATATAATAATATATATGCTGTGCAGAGAATAGGTGAGACTAGCCATCACTTGTGATTGGCTCCTTAACTAAAACCTTTGGCAGTATTAAAAATGGCCAGTGGCTAACAGGATGTTACTTTTCATGCCTATTCAACTCTCTAATATTTAGGAAAGATAGAGCACTTCTCTTGTTTGTCAAGACCCACAAAATAGGTTGTTCTCTCACATAGTATCAGCTATACACTGGTGTTATTTGTTGTCCTGTTTTAAGGGTTTTAAGAGAAGAAAAGAAGGCACTGTTTTGTTAAATGAACAAAGCCATATGAACCTTTCAGAAGACCAGACCACAGTTTACTCTGAAACATACTGAAGTGAAATAGTCAACTTTGTTTTTCTGGGCATATAGATTACTCATGAGGAATTCAACTGCAAACAAGCTCATCTCGTAGGCTCATCACATGCTGAGGGGATCATCCAAGTTGCAGAATAGTGAACATATTATTTTATCTGCATTTGTAGCTATGGGTACCCACATCTTCATAAAGATTTATGAATTGTCTTTTAATCTCTTTTCTTGCAGTTAAGTTTCATACCTACATTTTGAATTAAATGCTTGGGGCATTGCCTGCCCTGTTCAAATTAGCAAGTGTAGAACAAAAGCAAATATATGCCCTGGTACATTGAGGGTCAATACATTATTTGTTTCAGCTATAAGTAGGATGTTTTATGAAGTGCCCTGATGTTCATCTTTATCTGTGATACATTGTTTTAATAAAACAGGCAAACATGGGAGGAAGGCTGTTTTAGAGGAACAATGGAAAAATAACAAGAGATGCACTGGAAAATATGAGAATAGATTAATACATGAAGACTGTTTCATGAAGTACCCACCTACAGGACAGAGGCAGGCAATTATATCTAGACTGCACGAGTTAACTGAGGCACATTTGGGCATAAGCCATGGGGTGGGCAGCAGATGCAAAGATAACTTGAGCGATAAGAGAAATTTGGAAAGAGGCTTGTTTTCATTGCACAAAATTACAGCATGAACCTTATCTCTTGTTATCACAGGTTTGTGAGCTATTTGTTCATTTAGTACAATTACATCTGGCCTGTAATTTGTAAGATAGTTTATAAGATTCTTAAAAGCAAGGTTGTGCATGACTATACTGTGTGTGTGATGGAATGGATGGATGGTGGCCTTTATATCATCGTTTGTCCAGCAGAAAAGATGCCAAATATATAGTTATAAGGTACTGGTATAGTTGAAGTAGAAGTCCATCACTGGGAAGGTTGAATCCTTGCAACTCAGAAGAGTCAACAATCATAGATAGTTGTCAACTATGAGACTGGACAGTTTGTTAAATATCCAGATCTCAGAATATACAGGTAGTCCTTGCTTACCAACCACTCATTCAGTGATGATTCAAAGTTACAAAGGTGCTGAAAAAGGAGACCTGTGACCAGTCCTTGAAGTTGCAGCTGTCATGCGATCACGATTTGGAAACTTGGCAATGGGTGTGTCTTTACAACAGTTGAAGCATCCCACAGTCAAGTGATTGCCATTTGCGACCTTCACAGACAGCTTCCAACAAGCAAAGTCAATGGAGAAGCCAGCAGGAAGTCGCAAATGACAATCATGTGAGGAACCTAACGACCACATGGGATCTGCTTAACGGTGGCAACCAGAAGTGACAAACTGATGCTGTAAGTTGGGCACAGTCACATGACATTTCACTTTCTGACCGCATTGCTTAGCAATGGAGTTGCCAGTCCCAATTGCAGTGAGGACTACCTGTACGTGTGTGTGTGCGCGTGCGTGTGTGCGTGCGCATTTATGTGTATATATACATATGAACTGATGACCGAAATTTGTTTAGGTATCTTGAAGTTACATACCATACCTGAGATTTTTATCTAGATCATGTAGGTCTAGGTCTCAAAACTTCATCCAGCTGGTCATGCTTCCTCTTCATACTTAATATGTGCCTTTCTGCTAAGCCAGTGCTTTTGTTTATAGCAAAGCTCATTTATGCAGGATGGGCTAATTACCAACTGTCTACTTTTTTCTTTCTTCTGACCCTTGCAGTGAGCATGCCCACAAGTGAGACAGAATCTGTGAACACCGACAACGTGGCTGGAGGTGATATTGAAGGAGAAAACTGTGGTGCACGGCTGGCGTGAGTTTGACTATATTTATGCTGGTGCCCTCTTGAGTCCAAGGTGGAGCCTGGATGATATTAAGGGAAAAAAATTATATCAGAACTATCTTTGTCTGAAAGTGTTTCTTCCAAATAAGAATGAAAGTGCATTTGGAGTAATGTGATTCTCGTCTTGTGTCATACCTTTCCATAGAACATTATGAATGCATCAGAAAAGTATTCCTTTGACTCTGCACAAAGCAATATTCCAGTATCCACAGTTCACCATTTCTTAATTTTATTTTAAACTGACATTCATATTTATAGAAAGGGATATTAAGAAGAATTTCTCAGACAGTTTCTTTAGCCAAGCCAGACATTTGATCTGGACAAGGCTCCCTTCAGACTACGCAGCAAATTAAAGGGACACTAATCTACTTTTCTCCCTTGAGAATCATAATGTCTCCTGGGGAATTAAAAAAGTGTGAACACTGATGGAAACACAAAAATATATTGGAGATACAGATGGTATAAAGTATATTTGGGGAAGCAGGTTTTGTCCCACATGTAAGATTCCTTAAAAATAAATGATTATATGTTTCACATTAAAGTTCACCATCTTAAGCAATTGAAATGAAGTACAAGCTTTTTCCTTCATGCCATATACAAACATGAAGGTAAGTAGGGTTCAGACATATACACCATATTTTCTATTTCATTTTCGCATAGCACAACCTTGAGCATTTTCTCCAAGTTAGAAGTGGGTTAGTTTGTTTGTACTAAAACAATTGTAATAAAATCAGAGTCTGCTGTGATGGCTTCTCCGTATAATGCTGGTTCTGTAAATCGGTCTGTTTAGAAAGACCCAGGCACATGCAGTAAACATACCTTGGGGTTGTACTTCTTATTGTGTACAGTGTTCCCTTGTTACTTCATAATAAGCAGTTTCGCACAATCCCTTCAGATGTTGAAAACCCAGGTGAAGGGGAATCACAGGTCATATAATCTCATCTCAGTTTCTTTCCTGGACATGCACAGTGGTCCCACTCCACTGATGATAGCAGTTGAAACAATTTCTCTCCATCTGTGCCCTTATGGTAAAGTACAGTTTTTTGTGTATATTGAGTGAAACGCTTCCATTTGAGGGAGGCTCTGATTGGACCAGTTCCCATTCAGGTAAAAGAATTCTGCATTTGTGAATGCATATAGAGCCCTTTCCTACATTACCCAGACATGAGTACAATAGGAAAGTGTTTACTATGGAGATTGCAGGTAGGATGTACAAATGTTCTACATAGTCCTATGACCTTCCTCCTTTATCCTTTCAAATTTCAGTTTGGTGGGAAGTCATGGGAGTCTCCCTAATAAGTCCACCACGGTAAACATCAGCATTTGCATATTTGCTCACAAGGAACTATGGTTGGGAAATAGGAATATCAGCCTTTAAGAGAATTGTGTATGTCATAACTACAAGTGAAATGATATACAGTGGGGCAAAAAAGTATTTAGTCAGCCACCAATTGTGCAAATTCTCCCACTTA